TTTATTTTCACCATAAGCAACTAAACAAGAAACATGTTCTGGTTGCAATATGCTCGTAAATATTCAAACAGAAAACTGTTTTTAAAATTTATACAGCATCTGTTTATCCATTCAATTCAAATTATAAAGATAGTGGTGTAAATCAAATGCATACTCACTCTCAGTTTATCATGATTCATTGATGGAATGCATATGCTATAAAGTCCACATTTGCTTGCAGACAATTGGTCCCTCATTTTATAATCACTATCTTCCTGCTTATCTGAAAGGAAGCTTTCTAGTCAAAATGTATGTTTGAGAAAAGCTCGAAATTAATGCATTGAAAATGACAGACATGAATAGTGTACAATGTATATATTTCTAAAAATATTAAGGGATTCTTTGAGATAAACAATAAATGTTGAATCAACTCAAAAACATACACCAGGAAAGTCATGTTGGTTTTTGAGTCTCAGTCTGAAAAAACATCCACATGTCCCTAAATTAATGAATTCAATAAAAACAGTGTCAATCGATGTGTTTCCAAAGCATGTGTTAAAGTGCTAACATCCCCCATTACTTTCACCCACCCAACTTGACACTATTGTATTGGTCACCTGTCAGAAAGCATGCTCTTGTCCTTATTTTATCAAGATGAAAATGGCAATAGATCAACTAATATCAGCCATTTTGATTCATGGAAACTGTCCTACAGGGTCAAAATGTTAGCAACAGTCATATAGTTGATATTGCAAAATCATAGTATAATAATGGTGGCACACAGTGACATCGATTGATCATACTGTTAAATTGTTATGTAAAAAGTATTTATATTATGAAAGAATAAAACTGCCTTTTCTTGGGTGAATCAAAACTTTAATTTAATTCACTTAATGTTCTGCAAGTTGCTATTATAACACAAATAGGATTTTAACATTACTATATTTTATGAACTGCTATGAAAAATTATATTTTAAAGCGATTTTTCATAGTGATGAATTATCATAAATATAAAATATTGGTAATAATGTGCACAGTGAGTGACAGTAGAAGGAGAATTCATGCCATGAATAGTGGCCTCTTGGATATATGGGGTGATGCAATTATATCTTTCATTAAGCTGCATACCAAACATTTCTATCTATAGATATCATAATATATTCTTACATATGCACATAGACATCAGCATGTGAAATGTAAAAGTACATTAGGCTGGCAGGATAAGGGATAATACTGAGAAAACTCACCATGATGTTCAGTAGTTAAGGAGAGGTCATCAGTCTTTTCATTATTCACACCATACAGCAAAATACCATCATGTAGACTATGTTCAATCCTTATCAAGTAAGAGAGAACAAATTTTGTTTTAAACCTTGATATTAAGCAGTACACAGCTATTTGCTATTTTATTGGTTTTTGATGTGTGTGGTAGCTTCTCTACACTGACTCTAGCATACTAGTATTTGCTATATTTAGCTCTGTGTTCATAAAATGATTGTGGCTATTTGATTGGTCAATTGATAAGCCAATCAAATTGATCACATGTTTGAATAGAAAAGACTGAACAGAAGCAATGCAAGACAGTGTTTTGGATGAAGAGTAATCATTGACATAGATGATAAAATATCTACACTTGTATGTTTAGACTTACTGGTGAGGATAGCCACAAAATTATTTAAATGTTTTCTTCTTATGGTAATTGAATAGCAAAATATATCAAGCTGAGTTGCTGTTTCATAATGTCCACAATATCTCAGAGGAGGAGTAGATATAATGCATAATTTGGGTCAGTTTTAAAGTTAATACCCAACCAAATATGGTATGTCACTACTAACAGGTCTATATCCAATGTACACAGGGCCAGTATAATTGATCAAAGGCACTATTATGTAACATTTAAACTGTATGTTTTAATTGATATGTTAATTTGCAAAGTTTATAATGTATGCTCTTTGGTGCAGTGAATTATTAAACATAAAGCTCCTGATGAATGAGGTACTTGTACCTTACAAAACAGTTTCAATATTCATGTAGTTGTGTCTTAATTCCTCTATTACCGTATTTGTCCGCTCTACATGTACTTTGTATTGAGCAATCTTGTTTTGGAATAATCGACTCTCATATATACACTATGTATGGCATAATGTATATTGCATTAAGAGAACACTTATGAATAGAAGTAAACAATATAAATATAATAAATACATACCGGACAACATCTGGGATAGATTTCAAACAATCTAGCAGCGTACTGAATCCCATTTGTCTGTACTGAAAATATCGTCCAACCAGAGTCTTGTAATGAGGTCGAAATTCACCCAATGGAGTGGGATCTTTGCTTGATAACAGCACAGCACGTGCCAAAGTCTTATCCACATCAGGAACCTTCCCTGGCATTTTGGTCTAGGACAGGGACAAAATACAAAGACAAAATATATTGACTCTATTTCAAACTCCCTGAGTATATAATATAATAATATTGAATTTATTGCATCCTTAGAAATAATTTCCATTGGTTGAACAGCAATAAAATGTTAGTAATAAAGTACAATACATATAAAACTAAAGTAAAATGTCAGTTATTGTTATTTATATATGAAAATCCTCGGGTCAGATCACCAGGCACTCTAATCATGCAAAAATGTCCTGCAAAAGACAAATAAGATTAAGAGTAATTAGAGACATTAAAAAACTGACTAATTATACAAATCAGGTAATTAATATTCACAGATTTGAGTGTAAAACTAATCAAAATCCAAAGAGTGGCTTATTCGATATCAGTGGAAAAGTCACGGAACAGCTAAAAATTAGCTAATTATCATGCAAATTAGGTAATTAGTATGCATGAATTTCCACCAAAACGTAATCAAATCTGCCCACTAGCCCAGAGCATCTATGCATTAAGTTTCATGAGATATCATTGGAACAGATGGACACACATGTGCTTTGCACATGGGAGTTAAAAATAATGCCTGTCTGGTAACCCATATACCCGTATAATGACTATACTGAAAAAAAGGCATTTGTACATGGGTACATCTTTAAGGTCTACTTGAAATTCATAATTTTTTTGAACAAAATATCAACTTGTACATGCAAGACATAGCGTATTATTGAAAAAACACTAGGCCAAGCAGCACTGTGGAATAATAAACTGTGAATAATTAATACTCATAAAATAAATAGGTATTTCTACCTACCTACCACATTAACAGAAACACTTTTCTGTGTTTTTTTATCTATTTTTTTGTTAAGAGAGAGAGAGTTTTTAGATGTTGTTTTCACAAAATTAGGAAACAATTCCCGATTCCCAAATTACCGTCAGACGCGATGTAATTCTATTTGCGCATGCGTAACCTACCTAGCAACGGGTGAGGGTAGAACAAAAATATAATCAAAGAAAGCTTAGAAAGAACTCCCGTGTGCTGAGAGTATTGAAGACACATTAAAAATTAATTCAAAATTACTTGTACATGAGATATTGATGGAAAAGCTGAAAACTAATTATGTAAATCCGGTAACTAATATGAACAGAACAAACAAATTATGAATTATTATGCTAATTAGAGAATTTATATGAACAAATTTTATCCCAAAATTAATCAGGCCTGTCTATTGTCCTAGAGCATTTATGTACCAAATTTTATTCAAATGATCAGTAATTGAGATATCAGTGTTAATTAATTATGTTAATTAGGTGATTAATAAGCATAAATATTTACCAAAAACTAATGGAGTCTCATTGAGATGTGATGATGAGTACTCTTTAAAAGTTTCATTAAAATCCAATTCGTGTTTTTTTATATATCAGTGTAACATTCATGGACAAAATTAACTAATTATGCAAATTAGGTAATTAATATCCACAATTATTTACCCTAAAACTAATCAGGTCTCTGCATAGTCCTAGAAGATCTATGTAGCATGTTTCATTGAAATATGATGATTAGTACTTGAGATATCAGGCAAAAAGCTGAAAATTAACTAATTATGTTAATAAGGTAATTAATATGCACAAATATTTATCCAAAAACTAATCAGGGGTCTGCACAGTAACTATGTACCAAATTTCATTGAAATGTGATGATTACTACTTGAAATATCAAAAGCTGAAAATTAATTAATTATGCAAATTAGGTAATTAATATGTACTGATATTACCCTAAAAACTATCAGGTTTGTGCAGTGTCCTTTGACATCTATGTACCAAGTTTTATTGAAATGTGATGATTAGTACTTGAGATATCAATGGAAAAGCCGAAAATTGATTTAATCATTATGCAAATTAGGTAATTATTATTGCACAGATTTTTACCCAAAACTAATCACATCTGCGCATTAGTTTGGAGCATCTATGTGCCAAGTTTCATCAAAATCCAATGAGTGGTTCTTTAGATATCAGTGGAACAGTCATGGAACAGCTAAAAATCAGCTAATTATCATGCAAATTAGGTAATTAATATGCATGGTTTTTACTAAAACCTAATCAAATCTACGCATTGGCCCAGAGCATCTATGCACCAAGTTTCATCAAAATTCAATGTATGGTTCTTGAGATATCAGTGGAACAGACGGACATACGTACACACACACACATACACACACACACACACACACACACACATACTTGTATTGCAATATGTTCCGAGGACTTCATTGGATTAACTTTTAATATAGTTGAATTAA